TTGTGTGGGGTCTATGTTCTCCTATTCCACATTCCATAACATGACATTTATTAACATTAAATTCCATTTGCCAAGTGGTGCTCCATATACTTATTTTGTCCAGGTCTTCTTGAAGGGCATGACAGTCATCTAAATTTCTTATCCTTCCTATTATCTTAGCATCATCAGCAAACATGTTCATATAATTCTGTATACCAACTGGTAGATCATTTATGTACACAATAAACATCACTGGTGCAAGAACTGAACCCTGTGGTACTCCACTTGTGACATTTCTCCATTCTGATACATTGCCTCTGATTACTGCCCTCATTTTTCTATCAGTCAGAAAATTTTTCATCCATGATAGAAGCTTACCTGTCACCCCTCCAATATTTTCCAGTTTCCAGAACAACCTCTTATGTGGAACTCTGTCGAAAGCCTTTTTTAGGTCCAGATAGATGCAGTCAACCCAACCATCTCTTTCCTGTAATATCTCTGTGGCTCGATCATAGAAACTGAGTAAATTCGATACACAGGATCTTCCAGATCGAAAACCATACTGTCTGTCTGATATTATATCATTTCTCTCTAGGTGTTCTACCCATTTAGTTTTGATTAGTTTTTCCAATACTTTCACTATTACACTTGTCAATGATACAGGTCTATAATTGAGGGGGTCTTCCCTGCTGCCACTTTTGTAGATTGGAACTATGTTAGCCTGTTTCCACCCGTCTGCTACGATTCCTGTACACAGGGATGCCTGAAAGATCAGGTGAAGTGGAATGCTGAGCTCAGATGCACATTCTCTCAGAACCCATGGTGAAACGCCATCTGGGCCAGCTGCTTTGTTCTTACCGAGCTCCTTGAGCATTTTTTCCACTTCGTCTCTAGACACCTCTATGTGTTCTATGTTGTTCTCTGGAATTCTTATTGTATCTGGTTCCCTAAAGATTTCATTTTGTACAAACACACTTTGGAACTTTTCGTTTAGTGTTTCACACATTTCCTTTTCATCTTCCGTGAATCTATTTCCCATTTTCAACCTCTGAATATTATCCTTTACCTGCAATTTGTTGTTTATGAATTTATAGAATAGACCTGGTTCTGTTTTACATTTGTCCGCAATCCCTTTTTCAAAATTTCTTTCTGCCTCTCTCCTCACTGCCGTGTAGTTGTTTCTCGCATCTTTGTATCGCTGGTATGTTTGGGGGTTCGGCCTCTTCCTGTATTGATTCCATTTTTGTGTCTTTCGGTCTCTAGCCCTCTCGCAATTTCTATTGAACCAATCCTGTTTCCTAGTTCTGCATCTCTGTTTTGGTATAAATTTTTTTGTGCCTTTATCATATATTTCACAAAACTTGCCATACATCTCATTCACTTCCTTGCCTAGCATCAAGTCTGTCCAATTATACTCACTAAAAAAATTTCTAAGGTCACCATAATGTCCTCTCCTGAAGTCTGGTTTTTCAACTGCTTCAACCTCCTTATTTTCTTCCTTCTTCCTTATTTTCATGTGCACACATGTGTGCACATGTGTATGTGCATACGCACGTGTGTGTAACATACCTTGTGTGTGCGTGTATTTATATATATATATGTATATATGTGTATATGTGCGTGTATACTTTTTCTTTTGGAAGGGGCTCTGTTCCTTTCTCTGTTGACGGGGTGCTGGGGGAGCAGCTTGCTCTGTTGACTCTCACATGGTCTCGCAGTTAGTGGGAGCTTTTGGTTGTCTTCCGGCCTCTGGTGGCGGCGGTGGACGGCTTCTCCCCCTTTGGGGAGTTCAGGGCTGGCGTGGTGGGGTTCTTCCCCTGCGCTTCATCATGTCATCTTAGTGGGTGCGTTGGACATGGTTGATCCACCCCATCCTTCTGGGGTTCCCGTCTGCTCTTTGCAGACATGGGCCTTTCGAATCTGCGGTTCTTCTGGACTTCTTCAGTCTGCGCCCGGGATTCTATGCCCTCATTGGAGGACTGTTGTCTCCTGTCCGGTTTCTGTTGGGGCCGGGTGCTTGGATGGTGGCCCTGGACCTCCAGGTCAATTCTTGGCACGTTCCTCTCCAGTTTTCCAGGACTGGTACAGTTGGTGGTGGGGCTTCAGGCTTGCTACTTTTGTTGCCTTCCCTATTTTGTAATTGGCACTTGGTGTATTTTTGCATCTTTACCGGATCTTGGTGCCCTGTCTGAGTTTGCTTGGGATTCGGTGTCTGGCCTACCTCGACGACTGGCTGGTGTGGGCTCCCAGTCGGTCCGCTTGTCTGCTCGCCAGGGGTGTGGTACTTTCCATATCGCTGGGGTTGGTTTCCTGGTGATCTGGAGGCCGTTCCATCTGTTTCCGTCCTGGGTTCGGACCTGGCTGTTCCTTCTTTAGGGCTCTTGGGCCGCTTCCTGTCTTTCCCTCCAGAAGTGTTGCTGTGGCTGTGGTCCCAACTTCAGCTGTTTATGAGGGGGTCCCGGGTTGCTCGGCGGTTACCCGAGCGGTTGTGCGGGAATTTGAACTTCAACGTGCTGGTCTGCCCGCGGGGTCGGGTTTGGTTTCGGCGTCAGTTTGGTTCCTTCGGAGACTCCCCTTCCGCCTCTCTTGCAATCGTTGGGTTCGTTCCTCCGGGGATCTTGTGTTGGTGCTGCTTCACCAGCTTCCTCTTTGGGGTTTTCGGGGTTCCGTGCCTTGGCACCTCCCCGAGCTTTCGCTCGATGTGTTCACGGACAGGTCATCTCTCGGCTGGGGCTTTGTGACCAGTGCTCACCAGGTCGGCTGGGGATGGTGGGGTCTGTCCGTCCGTCGGGCTCACAGCACAGTTCAGGAGTTCGTGGCTGTCTGGTTTGCGCTTCGGAGGGTTTGGGTCACTCGGTGCTCTACCATTCAGCTCCATTTGGACTGTTCTCTGGCGGCTCTTTGCCGGAACCACAGGGTTTCTCTTAGGTATTGACCTTTGGGGTTGGTTCCTTAGAGTGGTTCGTTTGCTGGATTCTCGGGGTTTGGCTAACCGTGAGGTTATGTCCGGGGTGTGTCCTGCGTTCTGGCGGACAGCTGTCTCGGTTCATTCTTCTGTTCGCAGATTGGCCATTCGTCGCCGACTCGTTTTGTTGGCTCTGCCGAATGTATGGACTCCTGGCCATGGACGTCTTCGAGTCGGCGTGGTCTAGGCATCGCCCATTTTATGTGGTGCCCTTACCCGCCTGCGAGGCGTTTACGGTGGAGGCTTTTTGGCAGGACTTGTCGAGGTAGGGGTACCTGTTCCTCTTCTCCCTGTCCAGCTGTTGCTTCAGGTTCTGGCTCGATTGGAGCCCATTCCCACGAGAGTAGTCCTTATGGTTCCTTGATGGCCGGCCCAGCTTTATTGTCAGACGCTGCTTGATAAGTGTCCGAACCCGGGGCGTTTTCTCGCGGCTCCGCCTCTTTCGACAGGTCGGATCGGTCCTGTACATGACTGGTTCGGCCTTCTCCTCGGCTCTTTGAGTCTGGTATTTTGACGCGGATATCACCATCTTTGTGGTGATCAGGTGGCTTTGTTGACGGTGTCCCACCTGCAAGCTTCGTCTTGGCGACAGTATGACGTTCCTGGTGTGTCTATGCACTTTTTCTTGCTCTTCGTAGGTTGTCTTCTCTTTTGCATCGGGTTGTCTTGTCCTTTCTTGGGTTGTCAGGACTACAGTTATTTGATGTTTCTTACTGTTGCCTCGTTTTGTGCGGCTCTGGCGGAGCCGCTCTGGCTTGCGTTCGGGGTGGACGTCACGTCTGCCCCGTTTCGTAGGCTTTCTCGTGTTTTGTTTCACCTCTGGCCTGCTCATGCGTTGCCTGAGTCGTTCTGGTCCTTGATCAGGGTGCCTTCTTATCTTCTCCTCAGTTTGTAGTAGCCCCTTCGGTTCAGGTTTCTGCTCTTTGGTACTGGTGGTAGGTTTGTACGTTTGCAGCTTTTCTCCGTTCTTCTGGCGACGGTCGAGACGGCTGCTTTCCAGAGTGGTTCTTGTGTTATTGATGCTTGATTGGTTCGGATGGGGGGTGCGTCCTGTGTTGTCCAGTTGTGCATTTTTGCCGTTACATGCGTACCGTGTCTGGGGATGCGCTTGGGTTGATCAGGTTCCCCTCGTTCTCTGTTTCAGGGCTCGGGTCTCCCAGGTCGTTCGCAGAGTTTTTAAGCCTTCCAGCCTGCTCATGTGTCGCCTGAGTCATCCTGGTCCTGTCCTTGCGCCCGTGCTGATTGGATGTTTGCAGTTTTTGCTGCTGTGTTGGTGATGCCTAGGGCTCATTTCGGCCGCAGGGACTTGAGAGTCGCACAGGTTCTCGGCCGCCCATTCTTTATGCGCGTTTGCTCCTGTGCGTTCTTGTAGCCTTGGGTCGCAGGTTGCAGCCTGTTGTCTCGGCTTTGCGTTGCGGAGTTTGTGGCGGCCACCTCCCGGATCAACCCTTTCTTTTCCTTTTCTTTGGGTATGAAGCTCCAGGAAGTCATAGGGGCTCCCCACAGAAAACCAGCATTGAATGTAATGAAGCACCATTTTCTGGGTGAGCCCTGGAGGCTCCCTGGCAACCCTCCCTCCCACTGGTCGGTAGTTTTTTCGCGTTGGTTGACGCTTAGCCTCTGAACTACTGCTAGGCAGCTGGTGCGGTGAGGTCCGAGGCCCCCCTCCCCCCTCTCGAGGCAGGGAGGGCTGCGCGGACAATCGGCGCGGGAGTAAATTGCGATGTTTGCTTGTTTGCTTGTTTCCTTGGGATTGTAGGAAATTTCTATATCTCTGTTCGGATTTTTGTTTTAGTTTCTTACCATGTGTGGTTTGTTTTGTTATGCCTACATTTCTGGGTGCCTAACCCTGGTCAATGGCAGATAAAGAAAACCCCCCAACTTCAAGGGGGCTTTCCAGGGCCAGGTTCTGGTGCTGGTCCCCTGGTAGGTCTGAACTTCATAGCTAATGTCCGGTCTAATATAACATACATTAGCCCGATAAGCTCCGGAGAGCCTCCGGGGCTCACCCAGAAAATGGCGTTTCATTACATTCAACGCTGTTTTTTCCACACAGGTATAATGAAGAGTGCACCGTGTGAGGCAGGTCTTCACCAGAGTGGTGGGATGGGACATCTCCTCCATGATCTGCAGACAGCTGCACAAAATCTCAATGTTGCCAAAGTGCCATCCCTATTGGATGAAGGTTTTGACAAGGATGGATGGTCTGCACTAGTTGAGGATCTAAGAACAATTACTTTAAATTATTGTTTAGATAATATTGATAGTGATAATTCTGATGATTAAACATTTTTCTTCCAAGAGCATTGCATCTTTTATATGATTTTGTTTTGTATCTTACACATTTGTTAAGTTCTGTGATTATTATTTACAACACTTTTTTCTAAAACATATTACATATACCAAAATCTCATATATAAAGCTTACTATATCTGGAGCTCCTTTATAAATAATTAAAGTACACATCCTTTGGCAACATAATTTTCATTTTTCACGCAACCCAAACCCAAGTAACTATAAAACAAGTTTCCTATGTTGTATTAGTCTTCCTAAATTTAAAGAAAAAAATTAAATCTAGTTTTCTGTATTTAGAGGATGTGCTCTCTATGTAGATAGCCTGCTTGCTTTTGTCAATTACCATCACAATCCATCGCTTGTTTGCTCTTTATAGTATTTATTTTTGCTACTCAACACCTGGACTTCTCTTATTAATGACACATTTACTTGCTTCAGTAAATTTATCCAATGCAGTTTCTCTCTTAAAAGACAAAATGGTTTAGTTATACATTAGTATTCATGTATCTACACTGAAGTCAATACCAAATAATGATAAATAATAATAAAGACTGAACTCATTATTTGTTTATATTGAGCCTAATACTTTAGCTGCATTTTATATTACCTTGTAGTTGGTAGTAACACAGGGTGAGGATGTGTGTGCATTATGTTACCTACACCCTGAGTAGGGCTTAGGGGCCAGGTGCACAATTTCTCAACCTTCCTCAAACACACACACACATCTTTTGTGCATAATCTACTTAGTAAATGCTCTAACTTTTCCTAATGCATCAACATCATAACATAAACAGGAACAACAACAACAACAAAAGTGTTGAATGTAATGAAACGCCATTTTCTGGATGAGTCCCAGTGGCTCCCCGGAGCTGAATGGATATGGAGATTAATCAAGAGGAGGCACAAGAGTTCTCATCAGGGGAGGAGGAGGTACGGGAGGATGCTGCTGCCTCTTCAAGTGAGATCAGGGAAGTGTTAGGAATGTTTGAAAAGGTGACCGCATTCTTAGAAAAACATCACCCTGATCAAGCAGTGACAACCCGATGTGTGAACATGTTTAATGACAATTTACTGTCTCGTTTTAGGGACATCCTAAAACAAAGACAAAAGCAATTGTCAATAGAAAAGTTCTTTCCAAAAGTAGAGAAACGAAGAGCCAGTGATAGTGAACCACAACCCGGTCCCAGTGGGGTGAAAATCCCAAGAAGAGAGAGCCCACCTGACTCAGAGGTGGATTCTCCTTCCACACCATAACCCCTCTCCTCCTTCCCACCTCCCTATCATCTCCCTCAAGCCAGCAACGACTCTTCATAAGGTAAAGTAAATGTTAAAACAGTACAACAAAACATTTATAATTACATGTGCAGTATTATATTGACATTAAAAAATGTCATACAAGTATGGATGTTTTAGGGAGTGGAACGGATTAAATTTATTTCCTTTATTTTAAATGGGGAAATTTGTTTCCAAAGATGAGTTTTCCAGGTAACGAGCTCAGTGCCAGAACGGATTAAACTCGTTAATAGAGGTTCCACTGTACTGTAGTAAAATAACAACATATTAGTGTGAACAATATGGAAGAACATGCAGAATAAAACCAGCGAAGAGTAGAAGTGCCATAGGCACAATCAGAGAACACTGTATAAATGTCAGAGGTCCATGGTTGTTCAACATCCTCCCAGCGAGCATAAGAAATATAACTGGAACAAGCGTGGATATCAAGAGAAAACTGGATAGTTTTCTTCAAGAAGTATCGAACCAACTGGGCTGTGGTGGATATGTGGGCCGCTCCAAGCAACAGCCTATTGGACCAAGCTCTCAAGTTAAGCCTGGCAATGGGCTGTGCTTGGGGAATAGAACTCCCAGAACCCTATCCAGGTACAATCCAGGTACTTTATGTTAAGATTAAAGAGACGGAATCAAGGTGAATGTGGCAATGTGTTACGACCCTGGGTTCTTAATTGGAAACCAGAGGTCAAATTGAGCTCTAAATAATTACTATACATTAATTGGATTGGATCATGGGAGAAGGATATTTAATTAACAATAACATTTATATCATGGCTCCTTAAACCTGGATCATTTATTTCCCGTCATCCTTGCCAAACGTAAGATGAATCTTGTTTCTCACAGAGCATTCAGACTCTGAGCTTGTTGATGATTAATGGCCACTGCCTTTAGGACGAAAGGCGGTGGAGTTTCTGATGGGGAAGGAAGAGACAATTGCGCACCGCGTTCTGCAAGGCGCGGTGCGGACAGTCTGGGTGGCATAAATAGCGCGGGAAGGGAGGTCTCGCCCTCACTCCATTCTCAACACGGTCCGCGATTCACGAAGCGCCCACCCTCCTCCCCCTTTCTGCTGGCTGCCAGTTTTCCCAGTTCTGACTACGTCAGTCGTTCCTCACGTCTTTCCTCCCGTTTCACTGGGGATGGGTGGGGGGTACAGCGCCCGTCCCCAAGTGTTCCGCTGTCTGCAGCTACTACTTTGACTTTACAGCCATTCTACTAGTAAGCCCTACCTTAAGTCAGGAATTTCTTTCTCCTTATTCCTTGGCAGCTCGGCCTCTGGCCTGGGGTTATTTTCTTCTCCAAATTCATATCAGGCTTTCTGATCAGGGAAAGGAAGTCACCAACAGTATGGGGCATACGATCAGCTAGGTATCCATCCCGGCAGCATACTTAAATAAGTTCAAGCAGTTGTGCTCAGTCTCTTCTCTCTCTGGCTGGCAGCTGTGGCGTCCTGACTTTCCCTGTGGGGCTCTGTCTTCCTCCTCCTCCTTTCTCCTCTCCCTATAATCTATGTCCAAGATAAGTACCATCTTTATACATTTACCGTGCTACCTGGTTAAGTATACTTATAGTTATTGTGTAGTCTAAGCCAGTGTTTTGGCATCACTAAGTGTACTCCATTGTGACTAGTGTACCACGTGGGTCATAGCTACCCAGGCTGCTTCAAGCCTTACAAGTGTTTTTCTCCAAGTAGACTTTACCCTAGTTTGTAATTGTAAACCTTGCATCCTGCCTATGTGGACCAAGGTGTTTAACGTAAGTAAGTAAGTAATTATCAAAAGAAGGCACCAAACCGGGAAGTCTATGTAGCACCATCAAATGTGCGGAATAATCAGAGGGTGCTAAATATCACCAAGGATGCCAATACGAGAACAAATACACATAAGGCGAACGATATCAAAAGTATCCGAGTCACCAAGAATTCTATTGAGGGTGTTTAACGTAAGGTAGAGTGGTAAAGAAAATAGTTGTATTCATGTATATGGGGGGGGGGTTATTAGAGGGTTTAATAAATAAGTTAGTGTATGGGAAGTATCAATTCATCCTGTTGAAGTGGTATAGATGATTAGCTACTAGACAGCAGACCTGTAATCTAAAACATTGAATCATTAGCAGGAACCTATGTTCCTTGGGGGCCGGGCCTATCTATCCTACTATTTTTGATACATCTTGACTCTAGCTATTGGCCCTCAACCACATACCCCCCATAACACGATGAACGTGTATTCTAGTGAAATTACGGATACAGTATAAGGGAGAGATGAAGAGAAAATTATGTTCTGAACATGGCAAGTGTGAAATACTGGGTATTAAGTACAGTGGACCCTTGGGTTACGAATTTAATTCGTTCCAAAAGACGGTTCGTACATCAAAAATTCGTAAACCAAAACAAATTTTACCATAAGAAATAATGTAAACTGAATTAATCCATTCCACACACCCAAAAATATTAACTTCAAAATACATTTTATACAGAATACTACTATTATTTTTTACTATACAGGTACCTCACTTTTATTGAGGACTCTTCTTGGTGTATGGAAGACTGTGAGGAAGGGGGAAGGATGAGAGGTGTTAGTGTTTGGAAGGGAAGTCCCCATTCATTATAACATCGGCAGTGATGATATTTCTGGGGTACTCTCTCTTTCCTACGTTTTGCAGATATACCACTAGGACCTGGTTGTGTCTCACTGCTTGCTTGTCTCACTAAGAATCTGTCTATGGACACTTATTTTTCCCTACATTTTAACTCTTGACTATAGAGAGGCATCATATTGTCATTAAAAAAGTGAACACAACAATCTGCTACAGCTTTACCTGGGTGAGCTTTTTAGGAAAACTTTGCAGTTCTTCCCATACTGCACACATTTTCTTAATGAGGAAAGGACATCCTATACTCACAACTATTTTCTTAGATGAACTTTACCAGACTTTCTTGGGACCCATGGCATGATATATAATAAGAATTTTCATGTTAAAAAAAAAAACGAAATTCAGCACAAAGAATTCAAGAGCAGTCGTCGCTAGGCGGGATACACTGGTACATTGAGGGTGCCTCACCCCTCTGCAGAACCTACGTGCTTGTCGACCCATACTGTATCAACAAACTCGAAATTCCTAGGCAAACTTCATACACCGTGTCAAATTTTACGAGGAAATTGACCTAGTATAGCGAAAAATTCGTAGAGGGGAGCATTTGTAAACAGCTTCTACTGTACTGTACCAACACCATATAATTAGTAGTATAGAGTAAAATTAGGTGGAATCAGTTTAACCACTTAACTGCGCCAACAGAGAAAACTCCATTTATTTATTTATTTATATTTATTTATTTATATATATACAAGAAGGTACATTGGGATTGTGAGGATACATAGCATAGTAATTACATTCTTGTAAAGCCACTAGTACACTCAGCGTTTCGGGCAGGTCCTTAATCTAAGAAAATTTGATTTTTCCGTAATCATTCTAAATGAGTGCGAGGTTGGTTGTGTACGAAATGGACTCTTAGGACCTCCAGTGAGAGGCAGCCATCTTGGAAAAAATTCCCAGAATGCCCCAGGGCTGCTGGCTGGGTTAGTACTGAGTGAGCAACCATGGATGATGCATGCGCCTCTGGCTCCCAAACACTTGTCCAACGCAGTGTTGAAAGATCGCGCTCTATCGGTGAAATTCAAACCTTATTATTTGAAGAACATAAGGGTCATAATATTGGTGAAGCTAGGCACAATAAGGACCTAACACAAACGTTGGATACAGTAATACAGCACCTAGGAGGACGATACAGCAAGCGTATCCAGTTGTAGCTTTGAGCACCACCTTTGCCCACCTATGTTATCTCCAGTTTATATAGATGATACATAGATGAATTGTTTTCTGCATTCAGTGAGGATGCATCTGATACAAGTAGCATAGATGTTAGCGTGTTAGCAGCTTCCATGGTGTTTTCTTCCATAGATAGTTTCAAGAATAGCTGAATCTTTTCCAGACTGAGACACTCTTTGAGGCTAGCTGAATCTCTTCCTGTGTGGGACCTTACAAATAGATCTTTTCCTATCGTCTTTTTAATACTACCTTATGCTTTACAAGCTTGGCTAAATACAACCTACAAGTACTAAAGCCAAGGGTGTACATGAGTGCGTTATTTGCAAGCACACAGAACGAAGAAACAGGAAGCGAAAATCTATCTGTACCTGGTGCAACGAGGGCGAAGTTGCGCTGTACACCATGGACTACTTTGTCGATTATTACTCACTTCCGTAGTACTGAATGTGTAATACAGTGTGTTACTGTGTAAATAGTGTGTGAAACTGTACATATTGTAATTTTAGTGAATTTTTAACACGTAATATTGCGACAATAAATATTTATTGTGAACACATTACTGATACATGCATCACATTTCCATGGAACATTACAAACGTTCTACTCTATATATATTGTAAAGTACACAAATGTGCATCGTATATGATAAAAAAAAATAAAACTGCATTGGAAATACATATAACAAATAATTGAAAATATATTTGTAGCAACACCCGGTGCTTGAATGGCCAGCGCAACCGTGTGTGGTGTGTGGGCGTGTCACGCAAGGGCAACCAGCCCCTGGTGTTGTCACAGTGCACCTTGTCCACATCCCCACAGCCAAAGTAAGTGGAATTTGGTATTTATTTTTACATAGATGTGTTCAGGGAAGGGAATTTATCATTTTACGAAGAAAAAATAATTTTTTGGGAACACTTTATTTCATGCGCTTGGGGGAAATTGCACAATTAACTCGGCATAGCACGGTGGTTGAGATGGAACAAAAGTTTTACTTTTGTTAGAAATGTTTTTTAATGACATCTCACAGGAAGAAGTTTACACCCAGACATATACAGCAGTGAGATACTGCTGTGGACGTCTTGCTAGAATATCATTGTGCTGTGTCATGCTAGTTAATAATGGGTAAGAAATAACGAACAGATAAAGTCCCCTATTTCTTTCGAGTTCATGCCTCCCCCACGTCTCACTAATGGAAAATTAGATAATGTTGATAATGATATAATCTTTAATAAAATTATGTATAACATTTTATGCATGAATTATATGATAAAGAAACAACTTTTAGTATAATTTATTTATCAATAATTATGTACAGTTTAAACTGAATAAATTAAAGTTCATACGTTTACTTATAATCTGGAATGAATATATAATTTCTTGACAAACTTTCAAAATATTTGTGAAAGTAATAAGAATATTTTGCAATAGAAGGTGTTCATGTACAGACGATCACTGGTTCATACAATATATTTTTTTTAACATTTAATGTAAACCAAATCCTTCAACATTAAAAAATGTCTGAAATTTAGTGGCCTTGACTAAGATTACCTTATGTTACCTATATATAAAGTGATATTTTATGAGAAAAATAAAAGTTATGGTTAGGTAGACAAAATGTAAACAATAAATTCAAAATTTATTATTCAAAACTAAAATGCCTAAGTTCTTAGAATACAGGTGTATTGAATGTTTACATTAATGGGGGGCCCTTTATGCGCTTTCCATTTTTGGCAATATGTTCTTGTTCATTCCGTTTTTGTCCGTTTTTCCCCGAGCTGCTCATCAAACTTTTTAAACTCTTCCTCAATCACATCATCAGCTGCATCTTTCACTTCTACTACTTCAACAACCTGAAAAATAAGAAGGTATTGTGTGTAAAAAGTTGTCAAATTATATTTTTTGCAAGTTCAAAAAAACAGCATTGAATGTAATGAAACGCCATTTTCTGGGCGAGTGCCTGAGGCTCCCCAAAGCTATCGAGGCTAATATGGATATATTACATTTCTGGCATCAATGTGCATGGAGTTCTAGGCCTACTGGAGACCATGAGCCAGAACCTGGTCCATGGCACGAGGATAGACCTAGAGGCAGCAATTACCCATAGAAACCCCCGTGTGGTTGGAAGCATTCTACGTTGGCCACCAGGATGACTCTCCCATGGTAAGACTCCAACTGAGCCAGAAACCGAAGCAACAGCTGGACAGGGGAAAAGAGGGACAGGTAACTCCATCTTGACCAGCCCTGAAAGGGGGGCCACCTCAAAGGCTCCGCAGTCGGGAAATGGCACCCCACACATTGAGAGATGCCCAGACCATGCCAACGCAAAGAGGTCCACTTCTGGGAGCCTGAATGTCCAGCAGAGCCAATGGAAGGAGTCGGTGTCGACTGTCCAATCCGTGGACATTGGAATGAACCAAGACAAGCCACCCGCCAGGACGTGGGACACTCCTCGGATATGAACCTCATGAAGAGCCAAACCCCGAGAAACCAGCAGACGAGCCATTCAAAGTGACCAGCCCCAAAGAGGCAAGGACCAAAGGGAACCCCGTGGTGCAGGCAATGAACCACCAGAGAACAATCCGAATGAAGCCAGATGGCTGAACCCTGAGCAACCCGAACCCTTCGAGGCGACGGCCAAACCGCCACGAACTCCCGCACTGTGCTGTGAGCCCAATGGAAGGACAGACCCTACCATCCCTGGCCGGCCTGGTGAGCACTGGTCACAAAGCCCCAGTCAAGAGACGACGCGTCCATGAACACATGAAGCAAGAGCTCGGGTAGGCGCCAAGGCACTGAACCCCAAAAAACAAATAGGAAGCCGATGATGCAACAACCGACACAAGGCCCCACAAGGTCAAACCCAGCGATCGCAAGAGAGGCGGAAGAGGTGTCCCCAAAGGAACCAGACCAGACACTGAAGCCAAACCCAACTCTGCAGGTAAACCAGCATGGCGAAGGTCAGACTCATGCAGAGCTGCTCGAGTAACCACCGAGTGGCCCGGGACCCCCCCCCCTTCCCCGAGAAACGGCTGAAAGCGGGACTGTAGCCACAGCAACATCTCCGAAAGGAGAGACATGGAAGCAGTCTGAGAGTCCCAAACAAGACCCAGCCAGGTCCAAACCTGGGGTAGGACTTCCAGAAGGGACTTCTTCCAGTTCACCAAGAACCCGAATCCAACAAACAGGGAAAGAACCACACCTCCGAGGAGCAGACAGACTGGCTGGGAGTCCACACCAACCAGCGGTTGAGCTGGGCTGACACCTGAATACCTAGCAGACTTAGATGGGTCACCAGGAACCGGGTAAGACACAGAAACATGAGGTGCCAAAAGATGGCCAAAGGAAAGGCAACGAAGACAAGAAGCAAGCCACCCTACCATGAAAACGAACCAGTCCCTGAACCCTGGGAGAAGTGGGACATATGACCCCAGGGGCCAGAGACACCATCTAATAACCCAGCCCCAAAAGAAGCCGGAACTGGGACAGAGTCATCCAGAAGGAAGCCAGCAATACAGGCAGAAAAAAAAAAAACAGAATGAAGCTAAGACACACACAGTCCCGTTACGGGACTAGAACAAGATGAATAGATGAAGACGGCTCCGGAGGAGGCACCGGCACAAAAGCTGCACCAAAGGCTGCACCCAAAAAGTGCAACCTGCAAGCCAGGAAGACCCCAGAACTCCAGAAGAGGCAAGTCCGGAGTGCACAGGAGATAACCGCCAAGGGCTACCCGAACCTCTGAAGGGAAACCCAAAAGGAAGAAAAACTTCCAGAATGAAACCAAAGAGCCCAAAGGAACCCAGAAACAAACACAGGGGAAGCCCAAACCACCACGTTTGCTGGCAGAAATGCACCACTGAAGGAAAAGTCAAACGCAAGACCCGGACAGAACCCCCAGTCAAAACAGCCAGAAACGGACCGAAAACCGAGGGTCGTGGGAGCAAGCAGAGCAAACACAGACACTGGACACTAAAACCAAGGGCCCAGAACCCAAACACAAACAGAAAAACACAAAATCAGGCAAAAAACCAACACCCAAATGTTCCCAGAGGAACAAAGGGCAAAATGCCCCAAAACAAAGAACAAAACAGAGACACGGCATTGGGAGGAGGAAAAAACTCCAGACGGAAGCAAACACCCCAAAACTCCTAGGCACTTGTAAACAAACAGCAACGCTGCCCTGATGGCCGGGTGGGGAAGCAGCCACAGAAAGAAAATGGCTACTGCAACAAAAGGATATGCAGCCAAAGCAAGGGAGCTGATATTATGAGAGCAAATGGGGAAAAACAAAGCAGACGGGTGGAAAAAAAAAAAAAAAAAAAAAGTGTTGAATGTAATGAAACGCCTTTTTCTGGGTGAGACCCGGAGGCTCCCAGGAGCTATCCAGGCTGATAGGGATATACAGAGCAAAACTTGGTTTCCGAATTTTAGTTATCCAAAACTTCCAGTTTCCCAATTGGGGTTGGGGAGTCATGCTACCCGAATGTAAGGGGTCTGGCAAGTGTTGCGCCGGCCTGTGGTGGTGGGAGATGGTCCAGTTTGCCCACTGTGACTTCACAGATGCACGGCCTATTATTCCTATTATTTTGAATTGTCAGGAGGCTGGAATGTTCATTCTGTGCTTTTGTTTTACATATCTGCACAATCAAGAAACATCTGTGCACCATGTCAAGTGCATCTGTGCACATGACGCATTGCGTCAGTGATGGTTGACTGGTGGGTGGATGGATGAGGGAGCTTAGGTGGGAGGCAGTATGAGCGAGAGGGGGAGAATCAGTGAGTGAGGGGGAGAGTTAGTGAGAAAGGGAGGGAGGTAGGGAGTGATGCTAGGAGGGAGTGGGTGGTAAATGGGAGAATTAGTGAGGGAGGATGGGAGAATTAGGGAGGGAAAGGCAGGCTCAGGCTAGCTGGGAAGGAAGGAAGGCAGGCAGGCAGGCAGGCAGGCAGGCAGGCAGGCAGGCAGGCAGGCAGGCAGGCAGGCAGGCAGGCAGGCAGGCTGGCTGGCTGGCTGGCAGGCTGGCAGGCTGGCAGGCTGGCAGGCTGGCTGGCTGGCTGGCAGGCAGGCTGGTAAGGAGGCAAGCAGGCTGGTAAGGAGGCAAGCAGGCTGGTAAGGAGGCAAGCAGGCTGGTAAGGAGGCAAGCAGGCTGGTAAGGAGGCAGGCAGGCTGGTAAGGAGGGAGGGAGGCAGGGAGGCAGGCAGGCAGGCAGGCAGGCAGGCAGGCAGGCAGGCAGGCAGGCAGGCAGGTAGGCAGGCAGGCAGGCAGGCAGGAAGGCAGGCTGGCTGGCTGGCAGGCAGGCTGGCTGGCAGGCAGGCAGGAAGGGATGGATGGGTGTTGAGGTGAACCACGTGACCTTTGAGAGCGTGTGTATGGGTTAAGGGTTGGCCATTCACGTTCAGGGGGTGTGCAGCGTCCTGGCAGATGGCCTGTCCCACTTCATTCCTTTTTCCACAAAGTGCACGGTTGACGCCAACTCCTTCAGTTTCCTCTGCTGGACGTTCCGGCCTCCGGTAGTGCACCTCTTCGCATCAGCATGGTCGAGGCGTCTTCAGTATATGTGGCGCTCTTTCCTTACTACGGGGCTGTTGAGGTCGATGCCTTCAAGCAGGACTGGGCGGGGTGGGGTTACCTGTACCTCCTACCCCCGGTTCAGCAGTTGCTCCAGGTCCTGGCTTGCTTGGAGACTTCCAGGGAAGAGTTGTCCTTCTGGCTCCTTGGTGGCCGGCCCAGCCATGGTTTCAGGCCCTGCTTGCTCGGTGTCCGAACCCGAGGGTCTTCCTGCGGCTTCGCCTTCAGCAGATCAGTCCAGCCCAGTACGAGGCTGGTTCATTCTTCTCCTCGAGTCTTCATTTCTAGAGCTTCTGACTCAAGTCTATCATCCCTTGTATGGGGCACAGGTGGCTTCATTGTTGGTCTCCCACCTGCATGCGTCGTCTCGGCAGCCATATGCAGTTTCCTGGCGGTCCTTTGGGTTTTTCCTATCACTGCATAAATGTCCTTCGGTCTCTGATAGGGTTGTTTTGTCCTTCCTTTCATGGTTGTTCCAGGACCGCCATCTTATGCCGAATACTGTCACCTCATATTGTGCCGCGCTAGCGGAACCGCTTCAGCTTGCGTTCGGTACTGAGGTTACAGTACTTCTACTCCATTCCACAATCTGTCTTGTGCGGTTTCACCTCCGGCCTGTTCGATCACTGCCTGAGCCGTCCTGGTCTTTGGACCGGGTGCTCTCTTTTCTCCTTGGTTTGTGGTGGCCCCTTCGGTTCTGGGTTTTTTTTCTAAGTTTTTTTTCCCCTGTTTGCTTGGCTTCTGAAAGGTCAATTCAGGGAGCTTCATGCTCACCTCTGGCGTCTGCTTGGTCCTGGTAGTAGTTTTCTTCGGTTGATGCCGTCTCCTCCTTTTCTGGTGAAGAATGAATCTGCTGCTTCCCAGATGGGTCCTTGCAGTGTTGATGTTAAGGGAGCCGGTCGGCCGAGCGGACAGCACACGGGACTTGTGATCCTGTGGTCCTGGGTTCGATCCCAGGCGCCGGCGAGAAACAATGGGCAGAGTTTCTTTCACCCTATGCCCCTGTTACCTAGCAGTAAAATAGGTACCTGGGTGTTAGTCAGCTGTCACGGGCTGCTTCCTGGGGGTGGAGGCCTGGTCGAGGACCGGGCCGCGGGGACACTAAAGCCCCGAAATCATCTCAAGATAACCTCAAGATGCTTGGTTGGTCAGGCTGTGGGTGCATCTTGTGTTGTGTTTAGTTGCGGCTCTCCGCCATTGTCTACGCTGGCTGTGGACGCACTTTGGGGCACGGGTTCCCTCCCTCCCTCCCTCCCTCCCTCCCTCCCTTCCTTCCTTCCTTCC